GGCCCAGCGCTTCCTTGGGCTCGGAAACCACGGGGGAACCCCGATCAGCCTGCCCCTGGAGGGTAAAACACCCATGATCTCCTCGCCAGGGTAGGCTGTCCCTGTTGGAGATCCAGTGTCAAGACGTCAGGGACCTGCAGCGCCTCGTCCCCCAACCCTCCCCTGCCAGCCGTACCCCAAGACTGTCAGCTCCCAAACGCTATCAGCCACCTCCGTATCCTCACCACCTCGAATTCTCTCCTCAAGTCCGCAGTCTCGCAGCTGGTCCTTGCCAGCCACCCATCTCAACTCCTTCCCACTGTGCTCACCACAGACCCCAGCAGCCGACCCTCTCCGTGGCCTCAGGGAACCCCGAGGTCTAACCTACATGTCAGCCAGCAGTCCTCGCCAGTGGGCTTTCACATTGCTTCACTCGCCCCAGTCTCTAATTCTGCCCTTTGTATTCGCCAGCCTCTCCCTCTTAATTCCCAGCACTATCTAACCCCTGATCCCATCCTCCCTCGACCTCCCAGTCTTTGCCCTCCCCTCCCTCCGCCTTGCCCAGACTGACCAATCAGCCCCTCCCGGACCCATTCCCTCGCCCCCATTCTCCAGACAGCCCCTCCTTGGGACGGTATTCAGACCACTGAGTAACTACCCAACCTAATCGGAAGCCTCAGAAGAGAGAGGTGGGGCACCGGGATCCAGAGTCTGTCACTCTTGGTCCATACCAGTGGCCCCTTGGAGTGTCCCTGTAAGGTGCTTGGTGCTGAACAGCTGCTGTTATTTTGATCAGGCTTCGGCGGGAGTCCTCATATTTGTTAGTTCCTGCAAAAATTCCCATCACCTTTAAAGGCTGGGAGATTACTTCACAGGAGAAAACGGGCCCCAGCAGGATTCAAGTGCATTTCTATTTGACTCCCTAAAAATGCAAGCTACACATACAATTTTAAATAACAGCAAGTAAAATGAGACGTATATTCTGGCCCACATGGAACCTACCTTACAGGGGGAAAGACACAGTGAACAGGAGGCAGAGTAAGCCAATTACATACTGTTGGGGAAATCATTAAACATAAAATCTGCCAACACCCTTTCCCCGAAATCCTCTCCACAAATGTAGAAAAGATTGAAACAGTTTTATTATTGAAGAAGTGTTAAATCTTGTTGCTGAATCCAAACTCATTCTGCTCACTACACGACAGGCCAATAAATCAGGAGATGAGGTTGGGGCAAGGAATAGCGACTTTATGCGGAAAGCCGGCAGATCAAGAGGATGGCAGACTAATGTCTTGGAGAACCATCCAGCTCTAGTCAGAATACAGCCTCTTTTTATACAAAAAATAAGGGAGAGGGTGTGGTTGATTGTTGTAATCTTCTTGCTGCAGGCATTCTTTGTTCTTGCAGCCCTCCCCGTGGGCTAGGTCATGGTGTCCCTGTAAACCTCCAGCAAAACAAAGGTTATTCTCTACTACAGTCTGACTAATCTAATTCACATGGGCCACGGTGAGCGGTAGACGTGAAGTGTAAATTATGTGGTGTGTTGGAAGGGGATCAGCGCTGCCGGAAAGCAGAGCAGGGAAGGGAATGAGGGGTAAGCAGTCTGGGTGGGGAGACCCTGAATTCTGAGAGATGGAGTGACTATTACATGGGCTTAATTTTTTTTTCAATGCATGAATTTTCAAGAAAATGTTGACTATTGAGGTTTTCAAATGGATCCCAAAGTGGAACAAGGTAAGAGCACTGGCTCCAACAGTTCACTCCAGACCAATCTGCCTTCATCTCTACTCCCCCTACCTGACTTGGTCCTCCAGGCAATTTGAAGCAAATCTTAGAAATCATACCATTCTGTCCATAGCAGTACTTATTTTTTTTTAATGTAATGTGTATACTGGAAGAATCTTTTTGATAATAAGATTATGAAAATTGATTATGATCCAACTATGAGTTTAAAAAGTAGTTTTTTAAAAAGTTAAAAAACCTCAAGTAAGATACAAGTTCAGATACTGACAAGTGAGTGTCTTGTCCCACTCTTGAATTTCCTCCTCGGATGTAGACTGCTGTTTCTTGGTAAAACCTGCCAGTCTGGTTTGCAGGAGCAGAAAATTCCTGAGCCTCAGAGCACTGGGAGGCAGGATACACAAATAATTCCGAGGACATTAGAAGCTCCACCAACTTGGCTTCCCTGCCCTCGGTTCTCCTATCCTGTTAACAGGAGTGGGGAGGCAAGCTTCACGGTGTTTTCATTCCAGGAAAGGAACTGGACTGGCAATGGGCCCTGTGTGTAGAGGGAGGTTTGGAGGGAGCAGGTAACTAGTTAACACATCTCTTCTTTCAGAAGGGTGGGACAGATTTGAAAGAAGGCTAACTTCCTAGAGGTAGGATTTAGTCTGGACAGTCCTGGGTGTTGGTAATCTAGCTCCTTCCCCCAGGCAATTCAGCCCTGGCAGGCCCTTCTCTCCTTTGAGGGGGCGTGGCGTGTGGATATTGGTGGGGAGATGGAATTTCAGGTAAAACCCTCTCAGCTCCCCACCCAACCCAGCCTCTTGGGGGTCAAGAACAGGAAAGAGCCACAAACCCCCACAAAACTTCTTTGCCCTAAAAAAGGAATTCCTCCTACTGAAGCTACACTTAGAAATAATCAAGACCTTAAGAAAAGTTCTGGCCAGAGGTAATTTTCTAGGTTAAACACAACAGCAACAGAAGAGGCTTTAAAGATCAAAACACCAGCCTGTTCCAATGGGACACACACTTAGCAGGCTTTGAAAAGAAAGAGCTGAGAGGGACAAGTTGCTGGAAGGACCAAGGAGGGCCTGGAGGGACAGCAGTGAGTAGGGAAGATCTGTACAAAGTGGAAGGTGAGGGGTAGGAGAGCCCTCCCTGGAGGGGGAGATGGCCCTGGAGGGTACTGAGGGGCTGCCTCCTTCCAGAGGAATCCACCGTACCTAATGCCCTCAGGACTGTCTAGCCAGAATATCCAAAACAGCAGACCAGGTGAGCATCCCTACCAAGGGCTTCAGCCAGGGCTGTGGCATCTGGTGTACCACGCCCAGTAGCATTACTGCATACCGCTGATGGCCCATTTTGTAATTAAAGTTCATCCCATATAGTCAAAAAGACATTAATAATTCCTAAGTGTGACAAAGATCTTTCAATT